TTCTTTCTTTTCGAGGTCTGCGTTGTTTGTGGGTGCATAACATTGTATAATTGGCACTTTCCTTCCTTTGGAGTTGAATCTGGCGGTCATGATCCTGGACGAGATCGCCTCCCATTGCATCAGGGCCTTTGTTGCCATTGGTGACATCATGATAGCCACGCCTTCGGTGTGCGTGTGGTTATCTTCTGGGTGACCGGAGTAGATCACTGACTCACCCGTTGACAATTTGGTCAGTCCACTCCCATTCCATCTGCTTTCACATATTCCCAGCACTTGGATTCCGTATCTTTTCATCTCGTCGGCGATTTGGGCAGCTTTGCCAATCTCATACATGGTGCGGTCGTTCCATGTTCCCACACAGACTTTTTCTTTTGGTGCAAAGAGGTTCATTCTGCTGAAGTTTCTGTAGCAATTTTGTTTACAGGGTGGGGTCGCTAGCCTCACGCCTGAGAAAGGAATGGTTACATTAAGATAAAGTTTAGAGAGAAGCGACCTTTTGGGCTGCTCCCCTTAAAATCGGATTACAAGGGATAAAACAATCAGAACAACACCAACAAAAGGAAAACAATTCACAGCAAAAAAGGTAAAAAGCGACAACAACAATACAATACAACAACATGCAATATAGTTCAGCACAGTTAACTAAAATGATATCTCAACTGTCGACTGTAAATTGTGACTGAATAATATGGTCCTATTTCTGTAACAATTTGATGATGCCTGTAAACTGGCGTCCCTCATGTACTGTACCGTGAGAATCAATCTATTTATTTATTTAAATGAAATAAACATTTCTCTGACTTCCAAATAACACAACAGTGAACTATAATTCAAGAATCCTGTACACAACAAAATTATGTATGAAAACTGACTTCAAGCTTTATTTTTTTCCCAGGCACTTATAACCCATCCACCAAAGACCTGGTTTTTTTTGTTAATGCGAAGACAATACTTCTGTATTTCCTGATGTGTCGCACTCACTGACAATCTAGCGGATTTTTCCAACTATGCACAGAAACGATTGTACATAAGTGAAAAGGATGTTTTATACTATTGGGATTAACATTTATCAAGTGTATGTATAATCTTCAGTGTACATGTTAAACATATTTTGCTATCGACTGTAAATTGTGACTGAATAATATGGTCCTATTTCTGTAACGATTTGATGATGCCTGTAAACTGGCGTCCCTCATGTACTGTATCATGAGAATAAATTTATTTATTTATATAAACTCACCGACTTCGAGCAACTTGAACATGTAAATCCAACAATATATACAATTATAGGTGTGTTTATGGATGTGTTTATGTTTAAAAATTCCACAAATCCAAAGATAGTTATGTGTATTATCTGTCAATAAGATTGTATTCTTGGATTCAGTGTTCGAAAAATAAATAATTGTGATAGTTTCCAAAAACTCTTGGCATAAAATTTTAGAGAAACGAGAGTTTTTATTAATGTGCAAAATGTAACGCGGTGGTCGAAAGGCGCGCGCTCGCATTAATCGTCGTAATCAACGTAAATGTCTAGGTCACAAATATTGGCCGTGAGAAATTATGATTAAGGCCGATTCAACAACCAAGCACAGCAGACTTAACGTGGGCATATATGATTCGCAGATAGATGGAATCAAATTAAGAGAAACCCGAGAACAACCAATCAAAAGATTCTGTTTGTCTCGTTCACTTTTCAATAACGAAAAAATATTTCTAAACGCTGGTGTATACAACGCTAAATTTCGCAAGATGAACGCTAATAAATAAAAAAAATTAAAAAATAAACTGAAAGCGGCCCCAAGATATACGCCACTCACAACAAATAATACATACCTACTAATGAGCACGATAATAGTAAGGTAGGTGCCTCTACGCGGTACAGACACTTGGAGCATAGGCCAGTGAGATTATTTACATGTGCCTTCACTCAATAGGATTGGTCAGACAACCCGCCCACGAGATGGGGAACAAGAGACTATAGCATCGCACAAGGCAAGAACATATTAACCTTTAAATATGCACAAAGGAACCAATTTGAAAGACGCTAAGAAACATCGCACACTAGGCTTCTAGAGGAATCTGAACAACTAACGAATTGGACGTCTATGGATGACACGGGGAGGAAACGGAGAGGAGTCGCCGAAGCTCTATGTTTTACTCGCAACAGAGAGGACGACTAGTTACACTTCTATATTGGAAAACCTGAGTCAGGCCTCATCGCATGGTTATTCACATCTAATCATCTTTAGCATCATGTAAACGCCAACTCATTCCATTGTAACCTTATCACATTTAATTGCTTCGATTAAGAGCTGAGACTTGGCCTGACACTTCATCGTGAAAAGTCCTACGTACAGACGTCACCACTCTTACCGGTTAAATAACAAATAGGAAGCAGACTCCAAGATGAACCCTCTAATGAGGAGTCCGTAGCAGTCGCACACTGATGTCACTATATGCTAATGTATCACTTCATGAAACATACTGACATCCAAAACAGGGAAGCAGAATTAACGGGCTAAACATAGGACATGTAGAATTCATGATACGAAAAAAGAAAATGCCACTCATGAAAGTGAAGACAGACGTCGGCACAATGCCTTCAATACGCAAACACCTTGATTCCAAAATCCAGTAACGGAAGTCCCACAGGAATAAGGAAGAAAAGTGAAGGGAAACGACAAAATAAAATGGAGTTCAAACTACCAAAACCCAGCACCTACCCTGCTAGGCGCATTAAGCTTAAAATAGGACAAGAAATCCCGAGACAACACAATCGCACACGACGAAAGACAAAGTCACTCACTCCCTATAGCTATCAACAAGCCCCCTACCAGTCGCTCGCTGTGGTGGAACACTCAATATGAGAAGTCCATGGTGGACCAGGACACAACTTACAAAGACACACACACGTGCACTTCAAGATTCTGCCAACCGACCAATACTGCCGCCTAAGACGACTGTGACACCTCCCTGGTGTCGCAGCTCACCTGCTAGAATGAGATAAGCCTAGTGTTGTCATTTGGCAGACACAGATACCCATTCCTTCTCCGACTGCATAATCTTTGGCCACCGGCCACCAAGGTGGAACAACGTCAACAGTACCCAATATCTCCGACTGAACATCCTATCATTTTGAATTTGTAACCGCTGCACAATAGACGACTGGGAATAGCCCTCAATGCAACTGACACGAACACATAGAAGCCTGAAGACATCTGAAGTCGCGTTGTTATGAACAAAGCGAAAACAGGGACGGGGTAAGTACACAACCACTATCATACTTCAGTCAGACAATCCACCTAAACTAACCAACGGTGTTCGCCGACTGCTCCCCACTCTGACTGATGCTGACACAACATCTAGATTGCAATAGATGTAAGCCTCAGAGCGGTTTGAGGAAAAGAACTACCACTAAAGTCATGTCTGGCAGATGAAATAAAATCTCGAAATTGACTTTGCCGCACTGAAAAATATCAAATACGCACATATCGCCATCAGTAGCCGAGTGCCTAACATATCGGACAAGTGCATTTGATCTAACGTGTGAATTCAACGATAGGCAAGAGGCTAAGCTATACCCGACTTCCAACATTCACCGAAATGAGCACCGAGCGACTCCCAACCACTAGCCTTTCGGTATCATCGGATCAGAACTAGTCAGAAGTGTACTCAGTACATGAACAATAGAGGCTTTCAAGACTCACCTGTGTCCCGACCACCACGCATCTGTGCAACACGCTCTGACAAAATCTGCCCCCAACAAAGGTGACAATCTCTCCTTTCGCCAGCCATCTCACGCACGCACAGTAGTTATCAAAAAGAAAGATATAAGTACACACGGAGTGAATCCGTCAATTTATTTCTGACCATTTTTCATAGCATGCAAAATGGTGACTCACAGTCATACAAGTGCAGGAGCTGCCAAATTCGTTGCGTTCCATGTCGCGGACGGGTTTAGAATCCTCCAGGGTGCACGGCGAGGAGATCTGCAAAACCACTCAAAAATTGTGAACAAAGTGAATTGTTACCCTGACCTTCAGTCCTGCTATATGCTCCCTGGACCCAGTATACGCAACAATTAGATCTAGCACTGGAACAAGCCCCAGTGTTACCTTCTGACCCTTGTCCTTAGGGGAGCCTTGTGCAAAGACAGGCTCACTTAAACAGGGGGCTGGAAGACCTACCAAGTCAACCTTGTCTTCCGCCCAGTAATCATGTCTCCCTCACTGCTATCGATAAAACTCATAACTCAAAAGACTAACTGGCTTCAACACTTTTATTTCCTTCAATACTAGTGACAAAGCTTGGTTAAAAAATGATGCTGCATGGGCTTATGCATATATGATACGAAACTTTACACTTAAAGATAAAAGTCACTCTCAATTGGATGCTAACTCGCGATGGACATGACAGTTAAAAAGAACGCTCGATTGCACATGCAGTGAAAATTAACAGTTAACAGTAGAGATATATATACACGGTGAATAATGGGATCCCTGGCCTCTTCAGCTATAGACAGGCTGTCGACTTTCTGCTGGCTGACCTAGAACCTGAGGGCGCTAGGACAACTCTGTCTCCTCTGCTAGTAGAACTGCCTAGACCAAACTGTTGAGGCCATACTAACCCTGCAACGGATACGAAGAAGTAATTAGACGTTGAAAACATGCTCATACTAGAAAATCCTTACCTGTGTGAGACTAACGACGGCCATAGCCCCCTAGAAAAAGGACAGGTTAATTTTAGTGATACAAGTGCCTACCTCCGTAGGGAGCATTCCGTTGGTAACCTCCACCCGGTGGGCCGCCTCGCATCGGACCGCCGGCATAGTTCTGCTGGTTTCCGTAGTGACCAAATCCATCACCCATTCCTCCTTGACCCCAACCTGGACCGTCCCCATTCATGTGGTTGTGACCCCAGCCGCCTCCATAACCACCGCCACCGTAGCCACCACCACCTCCGCCATTAGCACCATATCCACCATAAGGACCACCTGAACACTAGGAACGGTAGATGTGCAACTTACCTCCATAAGATCCTCCATAGCCTCCTTCGTACCCGCCGTAGCCACCACCACCCATTGGGCCATAGCCACCGCCACCATAGTTGTTATTATACTCATTCCTGGACTCCTGCTTCTTTTTCATCGTATTGATTTGCTCTTTACTGAGGGCTTTCTTGACATCTGCTCTGCTGGAGCCTATGTGATGGGGCTTGTACAAGATAGCCTTGTCAACAGGGTCGTAGTCATCGAACGTGACGAAGCCGAAGCCACGCGACTCGCCTGTTTCCTTCCAGGATACCACCTCACACTCGGTGATATTGCCATACTTGCTGAAGTATTCGCGCAGTTCCTCTTGCGTTACATCCTTCTTTAAGCCTCCAACGAAGAGTTTAGTCACCGTCATATGAGACTCAGGACTGTTGGAATCTTCACGTGGCATAGCTCGTTTAGCCTCCACTGTCTTGCCATCAATCTCATGTGGCCTGTTAGCTTGGGCAGCATCCACCATCTCTGGTTCCTTGTATGTTATAAATCCAAAACCTCTAGAACGATTTGTACGACCATCTTTCATCACCACTACGTCTACAATCTCTCCCCATTGTGAGTAAAAGTCCTTCAACTTGGCTTCTGTAGTGAGAGGAGTCAGACCTCCTATAAACAGTTTGCGGAATTGTTCAGTTCGACGGTCATTATTCTCGGAATTGCGTCTTCCCATCATCAACTTAATCACGGAAACCGAGAGGATAAACTAGCAGTATGGCCAACGGATATGACCTCACCACGAAATGATTAAAACAAAATTCACAAGGTTCATTGTGTCAGTTTCATAGGAGCAACATACTTTCTTCTATTTTACTCAAAATACTGAATCTAGTGGGATAAGTTTGATCGTGTTTTGCATATTTTTAGTTTTATTTGACTTAGATAATTTATCCTTCTTCCTGCTTCACTTCAGATTCAGATGTTGGTTGAGGATAGAAGGCTTGGAGCCTATGTTAATCCTTTTCTAGTAAATTTCTGCGGCTCTCCGAACCCTTCCTGAACGAATCAGTTGATGTTGCAGACACCACTTCTTCTGGGAGTCGATTTCAAGAGTTTATGACTCGGTGTGAGAACCAGTACTCAACATCAACATGATTTCTTCTTGGCTTTTGAACTCTCCTACTATGTCATCTAAGGCGTTCCGACCTGATGAGAAGGAAAAGAGAGAGTACGTCAGGTCCGTAGTCACAATCTAAAATTTTAAACATTGTGATTAAATCTCCTCTCTGCCTACGGTATGACAGGGAGAAGAGATTTAGACTGTCTAGTCTTCCCTCGTATGATAAGTTAGCAATGCCGTGAACCATACGTGTTGCCTTCCTTTGAACCCTTTCTAGAATGTATGAGAGGTGTTGTAGTGGTGTTGGTCATTACGGTCTTAAGGTCAATCATAGAGGTCATATCTCTCGATCGGTGTTATATCACGAGCTAACCTAACCGTATGGTAACGCGTATTTCTCAGTAGTGTTTGCTTACGGTAAAAATGTCGGCATTAGAGTGTGAGCCAGATTTCAACACAAGTAAACAAGACTTGTTTTTATAAAAATTTCTCGCTCGATGGAAACTGCGCGAGACGTTGTTCATAGAGTATGCACTCAGAAGAGTGCTCTTGACCTTGTTCATCTGTGCATCATCACGATCGTCAAGCTATCTCTCCTAAATGGAGTGTTATCGTGTGACTGGAAAGACGCCATAGTAACCCCCATCCACAAAGTAGAATGAAGACAGAGCCCTACAAATTACAGGCCTATCAGTCTAACCAGCACTTTAATCAAGACGCTGAAAAGAATCATCAAGATAAGCATCATGGCATATCTGGAAAACAGCAGCTTATTATCTAGAGCATAGCATGGCTTTCAGAGGAACCTCTCATGCCTGTCAAATCTCCTCATTGCAAGAGAAAGCTGGGTCAAATCAAAGGACAACAGAAGGCCCGTTGACGTCGTGTTCGTAAACCTCAGCAAAGCCTTTGATAAAGTACCTCACAAAAGACAACTCATGAAGTTGGAAAGTCTTGGTATCAAAGGCAGATTGCTAAATTGGCTCAGGGAATTCCTCAGAGATAAGAGGCAGAAGGTTAGGATCATCTCTAAACTCTCCTCTTAGACAGCAGTACGTAGCGGAGTGACACAAGGCACGGTACTCGGACCTCTCCAAATTACTTTGTATATCAGTGAGTTATCTCTGCTCACCGACTCCCCTATGGTCCTATATACAGATGACTTGAAAATTTGGAGAGAGGTAAAGGGAAACAGTGATGCGTCCACGTTGCAAGAAGACCTCAACAAATTGTTAGAGTGGTCCATAGAATGGATGCTCCCGATCAATGTGGCAAAATGTGCAACCATGCGCATTGGACAAGCAAGCACAGGCTCCTACGAACTAGAGGGAATAAATCTTCCATCAGTTCAGACCCACTTGGACTTAGGTGTCATAGTTAGCCACGACTTAAAACTACAGCGCACTGCCGCACGGTGGGTGAACGTAGTTTCATGTTTTTGATGTGGTTTTGTTCTCTGAGCTGGATGGTTAGTTTGCGAAACTTTCATCACCTTACTGGGTGACATCTTCAGCGCATACTTCAATTTGAAGTAGTTTCATGTCCTTATGGGCAATTTGCAGAGCTTTCACTAGAATCACCAGAGATATGTTCACCACCTTGTATACATCCCTGGTGAGGTCAAGACTGGAAAACTGCATCCAGGCCGCCAGTCCTTGTCTAAGAGGGGACTCATACATTCTAGAAAGGGTTCAAAGGAAGGCAACACGTATGGTTCACGGCATTGCTAACTTATCATACGAGGGAAGACTAGACAGTCTAAATCTCTTCTCCCTGTCATACCGTAGGCAGAGAGGAGATTTAATCACAATGTTTAAAATTTTAGATTGTGACTACGGACCTGACGTACTCTCTCTTTTCCTTCTCATCAGGTCGGAACGCCTTAGATGACATAGTAGGAGAGTTCAAAAGCCAAGAAGAAATCATGTTGATGTTGAGTACTGGTTCTCACACCGAGTCATAAACTCTTGAAATCGACTCCCAGAAGAAGTGGTGTCTGCAACATCAACTGATTCGTTCAGGAAGGGTTCGGAGAGCCGCAGAAATTTACTAGAAAAGGATTAACATAGGCTCCAAGCCTTCTATCCTCAACCAACATCTGAATCTGAAGTGAAGCAGGAAGAAGGATAAATTATCTAAGTCAAATAAAACTAAAAATATGCAAAACACGATCAAACTTATCCCACTAGATTCAGTATTTTGAGTAAAATAGAAGAAAGTATGTTGCTCCTATGAAACTGACACAATGAACCTTGTGAATTTTGTTTTAATCATTTCGTGGTGAGGTCATATCCGTTGGCCATACTGCTAGTTTATCCTCTCGGTTTCCGTGATTAAGTTGATGATGGGAAGACGCAATTCCGAGAATAATGACCGTCGAACTGAACAATTCCGCAAACTGTTTATAGGAGGTCTGACTCCTCTCACTACAGAAGCCAAGTTGAAGGACTTTTACTCACAATGGGGAGAGATTGTAGACGTAGTGGTGATGAAAGATGGTCGTACAAATCGTTCTAGAGGTTTTGGATTTATAACATACAAGGAACCAGAGATGGTGGATGCTGCCCAAGCTAACAGGCCACATGAGATTGATGGCAAGACAGTGGAGGCTAAACGAGCTATGCCACGTGAAGATTCCAACAGTCCTGAGTCTCATATGACGGTGACTAAACTCTTCGTTGGAGGCTTAAAGAAGGATGTAACGCAAGAGGAACTGCGCGAATACTTCAGCAAGTATGGCAATATTACCGAGTGTGAGGTGGTATCCTGGAAGGAAACAGGCGAGTCGCGTGGCTTCGGCTTCGTCACGTTCGATGACTACGACCCTGTTGACAAGGCTATCTTGTACAAGCCCCATCACATAGGCTCCAGCAGAGCAGATGTCAAGAAAGCCCTCAGTAAAGAGCAAATCAATACGATGAAAAAGAAGCAGGAGTCCAGGAATGAGTATAATAACAACTATGGTGGCGGTGGCTATGGCCCAATGGGTGGTGGTGGCTACGGCGGGTACGAAGGAGGCTATGGAGGATCTTATGGAGGTAAGTTGCACATCTACCGTTCCTAGTGTTCAGGTGGTCCTTATGGTGGATATGGTGCTAATGGCGGAGGTGGTGGTGGCTACGGTGGCGGTGGTTATGGAGGCGGCTGGGGTCACAACCACATGAATGGGGACGGTCCAGGTTGGGGTCAAGGAGGAATGGGTGATGGATTTGGTCACTACGGAAACCAGCAGAACTATGCCGGCGGTCCGATGCGAGGCGGCCCACCGGGTGGAGGTTACCAACGGAATGCTCCCTACGGAGGTAGGCACTTGTATCACTAAAATTAACCTGTCCTTTTTCTAGGGGGCTATGGCCGTCGTTAGTCTCACACAGGTAAGGATTTTCTAGTATGAGCATGTTTTCAACGTCTAATTACTTCTTCGTATCCGTTGCAGGGTTAGTATGGCCTCAACAGTTTGGTCTAGGCAGTTCTACTAGCAGAGGAGACAGAGTTGTCCTAGCGCCCTCAGGTTCTAGGTCAGCCAGCAGAAAGTCGACAGCCTGTCTATAGCTGAAGAGGCCAGGGATCCCATTATTCACCGTGTATATATATCTCTACTGTTAACTGTTAATTTTCACTGCATGTGCAATCGAGCGTTCTTTTTAACTGTCATGTCCATCGCGAGTTAGCATCCAATTGAGAGTGACTTTTATCTTTAAGTGTAAAGTTTCGTATCATATATGCATAAGCCCATGCAGCATCATTTTTTAACCAAGCTTTGTCACTAGTATTGAAGGAAATAAAAGTGTTGAAGCCAGTTAGTCTTTTGAGTTATGAGTTTTATCGATAGCAGTGAGGGAGACATGATTACTGGGCGGAAGACAAGGTTGACTTGGTAGGTCTTCCAGCCCCCTGTTTAAGTGAGCCTGTCTTTGCACAAGGCTCCCCTAAGGACAAGGGTCAGAAGGTAACACTGGGGCTTGTTCCAGTGCTAGATCTAATTGTTGCGTATACTGGGTCCAGGGAGCATATAGCAGGACTGAAGGTCAGGGTAACAATTCACTTTGTTCACAATTTTTGAGTGGTTTTGCAGATCTCCTCGCCGTGCACCCTGGAGGATTCTAAACCCGTCCGCGACATGGAACGCAACGAATTTGGCAGCTCCTGCACTTGTATGACTGTGAGTCACCATTTTGCATGCTATGAAAAATGGTCAGAAATAAATTGACGGATTCACTCCGTGTGTACTTATATCTTTCTTTTTGATAACTACTGTGCGTGCGTGAGATGGCTGGCGAAAGGAGAGATTGTCACCTTTGTTGGGGGCAGATTTTGTCAGAGCGTGTTGCACAGATGCGTGGTGGTCGGGACACAGGTGAGTCTTGAAAGCCTCTATTGTTCATGTACTGAGTACACTTCTGACTAGTTCTGATCCGATGATACCGAAAGGCTAGTGGTTGGGAGTCGCTCGGTGCTCATTTCGGTGAATGTTGGAAGTCGGGTATAGCTTAGCCTCTTGCCTATCGTTGAATTCACACGTTAGATCAAATGCACTTGTCCGATATGTTAGGCACTCGGCTACTGATGGCGATATGTGCGTATTTGATATTTTTCAGTGCGGCAAAGTCAATTTCGAGATTTTATTTCATCTGCCAGACATGACTTTAGTGGTAGTTCTTTTCCTCAAACCGCTCTGAGGCTTACATCTATTGCAATCTAGATGTTGTGTCAGCATCAGTCAGAGTGGGGAGCAGTCGGCGAACACCGTTGGTTAGTTTAGGTGGATTGTCTGACTGAAGTATGATAGTGGTTGTGTACTTACCCCGTCCCTGTTTTCGCTTTGTTCATAACAACGCGACTTCAGATGTCTTCAGGCTTCTATGTGTTCGTGTCAGTTGCATTGAGGGCTATTCCCAGTCGTCTATTGTGCAGCGGTTACAAATTCAAAATGATAGGATGTTCAGTCGGAGATATTGGGTACTGTTGACGTTGTTCCACCTTGGTGGCCGGTGGCCAAAGATTATGCAGTCGGAGAAGGAATGGGTATCTGTGTCTGCCAAATGACAACACTAGGCTTATCTCATTCTAGCAGGTGAGCTGCGACACCAGGGAGGTGTCACAGTCGTCTTAGGCGGCAGTATTGGTCGGTTGGCAGAATCTTGAAGTGCACGTGTGTGTGTCTTTGTAAGTTGTGTCCTGGTCCACCATGGACTTCTCATATTGAGTGTTCCACCACAGCGAGCGACTGGTAGGGGGCTTGTTGATAGCTATAGGGAGTGAGTGACTTTGTCTTTCGTCGTGTGCGATTGTGTTGTCTCGGGATTTCTTGTCCTATTTTAAGCTTAATGCGCCTAGCAGGGTAGGTGCTGGGTTTTGGTAGTTTGAACTCCATTTTATTTTGTCGTTTCCCTTCACTTTTCTTCCTTATTCCTGTGGGACTTCCGTTACTGGATTTTGGAATCAAGGTGTTTGCGTATTGAAGGCATTGTGCCGACGTCTGTCTTCACTTTCATGAGTGGCATTTTCTTTTTTCGTATCATGAATTCTACATGTCCTATGTTTAGCCCGTTAATTCTGCTTCCCTGTTTTGGATGTCAGTATGTTTCATGAAGTGATACATTAGCATATAGTGACATCAGTGTGCGACTGCTACGGACTCCTCATTAGAGGGTTCATCTTGGAGTCTGCTTCCTATTTGTTATTTAACCGGTAAGAGTGGTGACGTCTGTACGTAGGACTTTTCACGATGAAGTGTCAGGCCAAGTCTCAGCTCTTAATCGAAGCAATTAAATGTGATAAGGTTACAATGGAATGAGTTGGCGTTTACATGATGCTAAAGATGATTAGATGTGAATAACCATGCGATGAGGCCTGACTCAGGTTTTCCAATATAGAAGTGTAACTAGTCGTCCTCTCTGTTGCGAGTAAAACATAGAGCTTCGGCGACTCCTCTCCGTTTCCTCCCCCGTGTCATCCATAGACGTCCAATTCGTTAGTTGTTCAGATTCCTCTAGAAGCCTAGTGTGCGATGTTTCTTAGCGTCTTTCAAATTGGTTCCTTTGTGCATATTTAAAGGTTAATATGTTCTTGCCTTGTGCGATGCTATAGTCTCTTGTTCCCCATCTCGTGGGCGGGTTGTCTGACCAATCCTATTGAGTGAAGGCACATGTAAATAATCTCACTGGCCTATGCTCCAAGTGTCTGTACCGCGTAGAGGCACCTACCTGACTGGTGTCAGCCTCGGAATTTGGTTTCGGTCTATAAATCTGGTCGGCGAAAATAATAACATCGATATCTTAGTAGTTTGAGTTTGTTTTCGTTTTCCCGTGTTTGATGTTATTGGCATCCTTTGACGTTCCCATATAGTTCTCTGGGGATGTTGATCTGTATGGATTTTTCTTTTGATGTTGAATTCTTTGTTTGTGCTTTTTGGGTGTCCTAGTCACTTAATATGTTCACTTGATGTCCAACAGCCTTTGATACGGCAGCAGAGTCGTGGTGTTACTGGGCGTCCATCCAAGTCCTACACATGCACGTCTTCTAATATCCCGATATCAGAGAATTGTCTGTAATAGTAGGCCTCTCTCTGTTACCTGTTTCATGGCAGTTTTACTAGGCTGAATTAAATTAGTGAGCACTTTTGGCACCGTGAAGTACTTAAGATGCCTACAAAGGCTTTTTGGGATTCAGTGAACGTCAGGTAAAGAAGTGAGTCTGATTCTGAACGTTGTGCGGTAATTTTCGACATTGGCAATAGATGCGCGCACTTGCTTTTCCAGAACGCAACGCGTTTTGATAGAAAGTACTCCTAGGACGATATGTCTTTATTTAGTTTTTATGGTGTGGGGAAAAACATCAGTTCTTGCATAGGCCGATGTCGCCGTACTCTAACAGTTCAACATATATATAACTCCCATTCGGCAGTATCTTTGTTTGCACAACTTGAGGGATGGCATGACCATGTCCATCACTCTCTTTTTCTGGTACTTCTGAGGGATTACATCTGGTCCTCCTGAAACCCTGTCTCAGTAGGATTGATACTGATGATTTCTGTTTGTCGGGAGTGGTGATATTTCTTGACGGGTTGAAGGTGGTCGTCCATTTAGGACGATAATAGGCTTTTCTTCAATGGGTTCAGATAGGTTGATCATCCTGGCCTGAGCTTCAGTTATGTGACATAGTTTCCATTGGTGTGGCAAAAGCGGCTGTTGATCTTCGAATATCAGATGAAACCACTGGCACTTGCCAGATACACTGAGTGTTCAGAGAACTATCGTTTGTATCCTCTCGATGTAAACAATTTTCCAGCGGTGAGTTAACTCCAGAAACACTGAAGTTTACCAGCTACACATCCTTTCTTCTCTTGCCTTGTGTGCTTCACGGAGTGTGGCGACCTGAACTGTCGTAAAGATCTGTGCAAAGTTCTATGTCGAAAACAGACAACTACGCATCCCACAGTGTTCACTTATGAACAGTAATATTAAGTATTTGCAACAGCCGTTACCCATCCATAAGTCCATAGATGGATGCAGTTTGCCTTTACTGTCATATTCTTAATCCAGCATTCATAAAGAAAGATCGTATGTCTTAACCGTTGCAGTCTTCTGGTCAGAAAACTTGTTTTTAATGTCCTCTTTCATATTTTGACCCGTCACAGTCATTATGTAACACTTCCAATACAGGTTAGATATAGGCACCACAAAGGATGAATTTCTTCATCTAATCAGATTTCCGAACGTGTTATTACTGAGTTCAATCTAGGTTTTTCTGTGTTTCATTTATAACAGCGTTTAGGACGCTCGCCGAACATGCACATGGTCCGGGGTTCGATCCCCGGCTGATTTCAGTGGCCTGTCTGTTAAATATGGGCTACCAATATCAGATGCTAACTATCCCATACTTTTACCAAAATACTGTGTGGAATGAAGCTATCATCAAAAATTAGATTTTTTAAAATAATATGATCTTGAAGTCACACTTAGCATTTAAATTATTATAGGGAAGTTGCAACATCTACGATAGGGATCTTCACTAACATACTACATTGTCGTTTATGGAAATTCAACTGCAAATGCTAGTAATCTCAGCAGGTGACATCTCATTGTTAGAGAATTGCTAGGGTTTTATTTGCCGTCAACCATCATGGATTAACCTATAATCGCTTGCCTTATCATGCTATTGACTCCAAAGTAGCCAAACTCTGTTGTGAAGTAAGTAAATATTACATCATATGTTAAATCCAAGTCTATCCCGGATATCGCCAGGCCTAGGTGTATAAAATCTCGGGAGGTTATAGGGTTATCTCTATAAGTCATTCTTTGTTTCACACAATTCAATGTTCTCGTTGTATCATTGCATGGTAGAGCTCAATGTGGTCACGTTGTCACCTCAAGAATTCTTCTCTGTAGTGATGAAGGTTACCCAGAAAACAGACTGGCTACACTATGCCACAAGTAAAGTGTGGACTGGCTAACTGCAGAATCTCTGATCATCAAAGCACCACTCAACGCTTGTTACAGAACCAACACTGCACTAATTCTGAACGTGTATAATGCTGTGTTGGAGAAAATAAGAGAGGCTAATGGCTAGATGAGGCGATTTAGGAAGTCGTTCGAATGCCTCGGTGTAACTACGAGCAATGAATTGTTAGCGAAACAGTATCTAGTCAATAATACTGTGTGTCGTATCAAATAAACTTATCTGGTAGGAAACTACACTACGCCGGTCTTACACTTCTTATTCCAATCCATGCTCAGGGCTTCAGGCTTTTACATCCTTTTTCTTCGCACTAGACTGTTCAGGGTTATGAAAGTTGACGGCATTCTTGTAGTTGATTGTTCTGCTGATGGCTGACTGTATATTAAATTTCATTAGGCTCTAAGATAGGATCATTGGTTGAATATTTTGACATCCCTTCTTAAACTATTCGTTTGTAGCAGTAATCAAGAAGCAATTGTTTTGAGTATTCTCAAATTGTTATCCACCACTTGAGTAGCCTTCCAGTCGGAATTAATTTCTTACTAGTTTTAAGTACTGTTTCATGTGTGTTGGAAGTTTGCAATGTACCCTACTGAAAATTGTGAGGGAATCGATATAACACTCATTATCATTTAGTTCTAATATGATGTCTGGCGTGACGAGTTGGTCGGGCTTGCATATTGTAATGATCCAACAGGCTAC